CTTCTATTACACGTGTTTATTTCATTTGTGCTTACAGTAAGGGGCCAACATTTTGTTTCGTTTGCAATTGCAAATTTTTGAACGAGGCAGGAAAAATGGAAGAAGTATATAAACATATGGAGGTAGATGGATTACGATTTCGTCTATGGTTTGAAAATAAACATGCAGTTGTCAACAAATGCAAAGAGATGAGAAACCCAAATATTATGTTCAGTGATGGATTGGTACGTTGCTATATATATATATATATATATATATATATATAGTATGAATTTGTTTCTTGTTTTGCAATACTTTAACTAGAAGGTATGTGTTTAATGTTTTTTTCAGAGTAATTTATTTTATTGGAAGTTGGTCATGTAGGGAAAACGATGCTTAAAAAGGCATCTGCAGTGGGACATTTGGATTGAACATTTCTCCTGGGAATGATGCCGATGGCAGAAGGCAGACAGAGGAAGCAGGAGGCTTTGAACATGTTAAACAATGCTTACTGAAGAACAAATGGTAATTAGAATCTTAGAGCCACCTGTTCCAAGGTTCATTTCCACTTAAATGAGGACGAGAGAAAACATGTACACTTCCATTGCTTCCATAGAACTTGTGTAATGCATAGGTCTATGATTAGTGTGTCAGACGCTTTTGTTTAAGGACACAAATGGAAGTTTAGGTGTCAAATTTGTTTGTGGGATGCTTTTTTCGTTAGATTTATTAGGGTGTTTGGGATCATTTATGAGTAGTTTGTTGATATATGAATATAATTAATTTACTTGGTAAGTAGTTACTTGATGCATGTTGTTACTTGATATATTAATATATAGTAGTTTACTTGATAAGTAGTTAGTTGATGTTTTTACTTGATTAGTAAAATATTGTGTTGTGATTAAGGGACTAGAAGCGTAAAATTTTGGAAAATCCTGTGGCAAAAATGAAAGTCAACAAAAGCTTACTATTCCTAACTTGGTCAAGTTTTAATATATATATATATATATATATATATATATATATATACACACACACACACACATACATATTAGTGTTTATATAGTAATTTAGTTGATCAGTAGTTAGTTGATGTTTTTACTTGATTAGAAAATATGTTGTGATGTTATTAAGATACTAAAAGTGTAAAATTTTGGAAAATCATGTGGCAAAAATAAAAGTTTTAATATATATATATATATATATATATATATATATATATATATATATATATATATATTAGTGTTTATATTATGTTAGTAAAATTAAATGGTTGTGTTATAATTATGAAATTTTGACTTATATGTTAATTTAGTGTACGTCACTTTAGTGTTTTTATTATGGGTTGCTTATAGTTTCATGGTAATACCCTTGGATGACATATGGGTCATGGGCTACCACATTAATCAACATAATATTAAAGTTTCAATTTTAAAAAACATAAGTTACTTTAGTTCAGCTGGATGACGTGTCTTTAATCTTTCCCGAAGTTGCAGGTTCGAACCCTACTTCCTTCAATCATTTTTTTAACTTTCTCTTTTTCATTTTAATTTCCAAAGTTCCACTTTGACCATAAAAGGTTATAATGTTTGAATAATTTGTTTTGACACAACTACCCTTTGTAATCACGTATTTGGAATGATTTCATGTGACAACCGTCAATTTCTGATCAAGTCAAAGTCAACCAGTCAACTCCTCCAACCTGTGTATGCTAGGGTTCACTTTATATAATTACTGTACAACTCTCTATTGTAATAAGAAATTATCACTTGTAAAGTTTGTATTTTTAGATTTCTTAAACCCTAATCGGGGTAAGTGAGGTAGCAAAGCGATAAAACACTATTACATACCCTTTCGGGGGTGTGTAAGACTCTTAAACATGGCTAAACGGGGTTGCGGACCTTGTGTTGCAAAGCTAAGCACTCAAAAAGGTCACAAACTAAGTCTCTCTCAATCCCTCTTTATCAATCTCAAACTTTCCTAAATCTTTCCAAGTATGAGAAATCTCTCCCAAATCTCTCCAAGTATGTGAAACCTCTGTCAAATCTCTTCAAGTATGTGAAACCTCTCCCAAATCTCTTCAAGTATGTGAAATCTCTCCCAAATCTCTCCAAGTATGAGAAATCTCTCCAAAACCTCTCAACTTTCTATAGTCATCCGGGTTATCTCGACCCTTAAATTAGGCGAAAACAGCTCAAAAACAGAAGTTTACGTGAAAAACAGCTTTAAGGAGCTGAACCTATTTGGAGCCGAACCCTCCTGAACCGAGAAGAAGCCGAAGCCGAACCTCCCTGATCAGCCGAGACCGAACCTCGCAGGGGGCACCGAGATCGAGCCTCGCCTTCTGTTCCCTCCCCTCCTTCGCACCTTCGGTTCTTCTTTCCCTTCTCTTGGTTTCCCTCCTATGACCCGAGACCTCCCTTCGGCTCCCTCCTACTTTCGGTTCCAATCATAAGGGACCGAACCTCCGACCCTGATATCGGATTTTCGCATATTTTCCCGATTTTTGACCATTTTCACGTTTTAAGCCCGTTTTCGTGATTTTAACGCGGGATTTTCACCCAAACTCGTATTTTAACATAATAAAACCTAAATATTCATATTTTAATTATATTTTGGGGAAAATCATTGCATAAGAATAAAATCTAGTGGGTGAGATATTTGAGGTGGAGTGTTGACTTTACCTTAGTGTGTAACACAAGCAACCTCCCATACACACTCCGTGACCATCCCTCAGTCACTATTCCACCATACATAGTTAATCATTGTCCTCTCCCCATCACTTTTTTCCAGCCATACACTTGAACAAAAGGTAGAATTATTATCTCTCCTTTCTCATTTCTCTCATTTTCCACCAAAGAACAATCACCTTTCTCTCTCTCTCTTCTCTCTCTTCTCTCTCTCTCTCTCTCTCTCTCAAATTCGAGATTCAAGGGCTGATCATCAAGTTTTCTTCTACTTTTGGGTAAGTATTATCATCCTCCATATGATTATTTCACTTCCTTCTACTCTAATCATGGATATCTTACACAAACATCATCACATTTGTGGTAGATCTTCGAATCTTCAAGGCACCTTCTAAGTGTTCTTGAGTAGAACACTTCTTTTCTTCAATATCCATCCATTAAGAACACTCAAGGTGATTTCATACCCCTATATTTTCATGTTTTCTCAAGTTTTAGGGGGGGGGGGATACAAGTTAAAACACCAAGAACATAACTAAACTCATCCAACAGCTTTCATCAGAAAAGTTTAACTCCATTCATGGACTGTTTTGGTCAACTTAAACATTTTAGTGTTCAAAACTGTATTAGATTCAAATATTTCAGGTTTATACCTTTAAAATGACTACTTTCACATGTCCATACGATTACAATTTATGGCGATTTTTACAAAACTATCTATCACTGTAGCTACGAATTCTGACCAGTCTGTGAATATGGACATTTTCACACTAGTTAGAGACATCTAAAAATCATAATAAAAATTATGAACAAACTAGACACATTTTCTAAACTATCAGATTTTACAAATTCAGTTTTTGACTTCGTATGATTTTTTTGTGATTTTTCGAAAACGGTGCAGAAATGTTAAAAATAAGTTAACAGCTTACAACTTTCATCACACTTTGTAACATGTTGAGCGAAGTGTTAATCTTTGATGATTTCATATTTTAACTGTGTTTTGCGTTGTGGTATAATTATATAATAGAAAATACTCACTAATTTGTAAGAGTCCTTTGTCATTACAAATAATACAAGATAAGGCATGATAAACATGGTTATGTTTTTGCTATACATTCGACTCCCATACAAATGGGGTTCATTTTCATTACAAACGTTTTGGATAAACTATAATAGGTATAGTTTATGTTTCATATACATTACAAACAGTTATGATTAAACTATAATAGGTATAGTTTATGTTTCTATTACATTTCAAGCTCATTACCAAAGGTTTTCAGTTCAGTTCACGAAATCTGTTAATTAATAAATTTGTGAGACATTCGCTTCGCGTTACATCCAAAGTAAAGAAATCAAAAGTCCTGTAAATTGTAACTAGAGTCTTTTGTACGGAGAACGTGATAGTTGTGTATATATCTATATTGGGTCTGACAAACCCACACATGAGCTGCATGCAACAGCTAGATCGATAGGTCTGGGGTGACAAGTGTCATTTAACTTGCGACGCCTGAAGAACGTCATATTACGAGGCTGTCTAAGTCACAGTATGGTTATAATAACTCACATGGAGTATTAGCAAAACATAAGATTTACGTGTTCTACTTCTCAATTTAACGAGGTTTATGTTCATTCAAACTTGTATACATTTCTTTAAGTATTTTAAAATACTTGTACACTTCGGTCTTGACTTTGAAGACTACAATGCATTACATAAGGAAAATATTGGATTTTCTCGAACAAACATCACTTTTACATGAAGAGGATTTTAAGTATCACTTTCAAAAGCTTATGAACTCACCAACTTAATTGTTGACACTTTTTCAAAACTACTTGTATTATCAGGGAATAAATAAAACAGGTAATCGGCCGCTTTTGGGGATGGAACGATAAGGCGTCAAACGTTTCATTTCTTTTTGACAACATAATGTAATTGATTTGGAAACATGTAAACATATACTATGATGTAACTTTTTCAATTATATTTATGTTGGTTGTCTATACTTTGGGCACTATTGTAATTGTTGTTATGATACTACACATGAATTCCTCCACCCCCGAACATTTCCGCCATCCTTGGTTTGGGGGTGCGACATTTCAAGGGCATTTTGGTCTTTTGCACTGTACATCATTTAGGCGTCATGATGGTTCTGATGTCACGCCGTCATTTCTATGTTTCAACCATTCAGAACGTCTAAAATCTTCCTGACGGTAAAACTGCAGCCGAACATATAAACCCCTAACATTTACAATCCATTCCCAAACATCAAACTTACGACACAGTGATAAATAAACCCTAAAATCCTAGTTCTTTTATTACAATCAAAGCAATTCAACATCATGTTAGCGAGTTCTTCATCAACAAGAATGCAAACAAAACAACAAGGAACAACGATGAATGCTTTGCCTTCGCAAATCAACGAAAAAATAGTAGCTATGGTTGGGGGAAAATCACCAATCAATGCTAGTAGGTGACGGTTGATGTAAGTTTCATGTACAATACTTCTATTATATTTGTATATGTTGTTAATTTTGTGTTTAATAGATGAAGTTTGTTCATTTGTAAATTATAGTTGCAAACTCTTTAGAGATTCTACGAAATCAAAAGCAATATATCAAACCATCGACATAAATCGATTAAGTTTTCGTCCATTTAGTGTTGATATGGATGAAGTCATCCTCAGATGCAGAAAGTTGAACAACCCACACATACTCTTCAACGACGGAATGGTACTCTTTTTTTATGCATTCTATTACTTACACATGCAATTTGTTATATATATATATATATATATATATATATATATATGTGTGTGTGTGTGTGTGTGTGTGTATTTGTTTATATTAAAATTGTATGATTACTTAATGTATTTCAAGCAAAGTATTTTTTATAGGTGAAGCAGATAAGGGACAGTTGGACGCTATATTCATTCTTGGAATGTTGTTCATAGCCGAAGGCAGTGAAAGGAAGCAAGATGCTCTGATCATGTTGAATAGTTCTTACATTAATACAAAAATAAAATTGGAATATGAGAGAAACCTGTTACAAGGTTCGAAGCCACTTGGTTACGGAAAGGAGATCAAAGCAGATACAATTCCATGGCTTGCATAAAAGTTGTGCAAAACATCTTTATGTTAGCAAATATGGAAAAGCTTTTATGTATAAATACAATTGGTTGTTTAATTGTGATATTTGTTTGTGGGATGCATTTTTGGTTGAGTTTGCTAAGATGTTTGACATCAATTTAGAGTAGTTATATGATGGTTGTTTGATTCACATGATTAGTGATGCATGCATATTATATGTGGGTTTTTGTGTAATGTGAATATATACTTGTAATTTGGTATAATGTTAAAATATATTTGTAATTTGGTTTAGTATCAATATATAAATGTATTTTGTTTTGGATTTGGAAATTAGATTATGCACTGTGCATGGTATATAGTAAAGTAATAACTTGATGATGTTAATTTGTTTAAGTTTGATCATTTCTTACATATTGGTTCAACATCTAGTCATTAACTTTGTGAAATTAACGAGTTGTTAATGTACATTTGCAATATTTATATTCTACATATATATATATATATATATATATATATATATATATATATATATATATATATATATATATATATATATATACACTTCAAATCTCATCTATTAATTTGAAGCAACATTAAGGAAAATAATATTGTGTTATTTAAATGTATACATTGCAGATTTAACACCATGAACAATACAAAGAGAAGATGTATGAAAGAAAAGATAATCGTGGTTGTGTATCGCAAGTTTTCATACAAAGAGTGAAAATTTTTAATAGATTTTGCTACCAGTCAACATAGGTTCATGGATGAAGATAAATATCTATGAATTTGAATTACTCCTTATCAACGAGTACTATTGCTGATAAAAATTTCCATAGCTAAATATCTATGAATTTGAACTACTCCTTATCAACGTTGCAATGTAATATAACTTCGTAACAAATGTCGTCATGAATTAGCTAGGCTTTTTGTTCCATAGCAAAACAAGCAAAGTAAATCAGATTCCATAGCAAAATTCTCTAGAAAATACCTACGAATGGTACTTCCTTAGGAAAGCAACTATGGAGTTGGTTTCCGTCAAAAAGTTTGTTGCATAGTAACCACGATAATTAATTCCATAGCAGCAGTACAATGGAAAGTGATTTCGTAACAAATTTCATTGGAAAATTGCTATGAAATTTTTTCCATAGAAATATCGGTAGCATAATACCAACGGATATGGAGTCAGTAGCATTTTCCCTAGCAAGTCCCATGCTCGCTACCAGAAATAAAATCTATGGACCATGTGGTAGCAACCTTTCTATGGAACGACATTCCATAGCACGATCCATTGCAGATTAACAATGAATATACGTTCCATAGCGACCTTAACTAGCAAAATCGCATTTTTCTTGTTGTACAGTCTCATATGTAATGTCCCTCCTTGGCGCACTTGAAACATATCAAAATACGACAAACTACTTCATCAGAATTCCCACACCTGTTACACCGTGGACCTATCTATCCTCCAGATCGTGATTTGTCGGGCTTGAATTTCTTGGTCATTGGATGAGACGGAGTTGGGGTCTGCCTCTTTTCCTTTAGTTGAGTTTCCAACTTAATTTCCCTTCTCCTGGCATGCTCTTTCATCTCTGCTAAGGTCTTGTATCTATTGTTCGATATGAACTCCATGATATCAGTCTTGAGCATACTCAAGTATCGAGACATCTACACTTGTTCCAATGAGGCATATTATGGATAAAAAAGGGCTCCCTCAATGAACATCTTGGTGATCTGAGTCATCGATTTAGCTGTCGGTTTGAGTGATAGATATTCTTGAGTGACCTATTACCACTCCACTGGTAGAACATAATCTTTCTTGGCAGGTGAATAGTTATTGGTGACAAAGTTCCACCAATATTTTGCTCCTAAAAGTAGAAGATTTTGCGCATACCTGCACTTTAGGTTCGCCGGACACGCACACGTGTAAAAGCATCCTTCCATATTTGAGATCCATATCATTGAAACAATTGGATCTCTAACACCATCAAACTCTAGGGGATTGGTGTTATTGAACTCTCGATAGGGCATTTACTTTTCTCCATGTGAGGGAAACTACGAAACTAGTGGCTGAGCGGCAGCAGTACTGGCAACGGCAACATACCGTTCATTGAAAAAAAGTTGTCCATTATGTCTTAATAGCTCCAAACATTTCCGAAATTATCTCTTTTAGATCTTTTGATATCGTTGCCTCTATCCAATCGCATATCTCAGCCTCGCTTGGAATTGACCCTTCAGATCCAGAACTCGACCTATTTGATCTTGTGATCATTATCATGCTGAAGACGTAACGGGAATGGGTTAATACGAATCAAACTAATTCTAAAATGATATTTGAATCCTCTCCGGTTCTTTAGCAAATTTGTGGGTTTTCTTTATTCTTGTATGGATCCCATGCCTCCTGCTAGTACGGGCCCATACTACTTTCCACACATTTCCGTACTAGATCCAAGAATTGCACCAAGGGCTGTAAATCACTACACTCTGATATTGATATGTCTTTCACACACATAATGTTTCAATGAACTAATCATTTCTTTCCTAGACTTCACTCAAATCATGTGTCTCTACTAACGTCCTATTTTATGAATATATGCCTTATCAAGAATATATCAAACATCCTAGGCTGTCCTTCTAGGATTTCTCCCACTTCTCTCTACTATTGGCAGACAAAGAACTTCTACCAATATTAATTAATAATTTGGAAAATGTCCTCCCTGGATGATAGTCATCCCAAATCAACATGAAAATTCTAGACACCTCTCCCATAAGTAGATCAATCTGTATTATGACTAGAATTACTGATAAATTTTATTTTTGGGTTCATAATAACGAATATGAATAGAATTTATAAGTTACACTTTAATTAAGATAAGTGCAACCTAACTTACAAAGATTTTTTGCAAAATCTGGGAAATTGCGTGGGCAGAATCCTGATTCGAATAATCCTTCATGTCAGGATCTTAGAGCTCCAAAGATCCTATTAAATTATTTTAAAAGTTGGAAGAAAAAAATCAAGTTCTAGAGAGGTTTTGGGAGAGATTTGAACAAACTTGTAAGGAGAAGGGTGAAATCTGGTAGCAATTTATATGAATAACATGGGTGCACGTTGTGCAAGCTAGAGTACGATCTGCACCATAGGGTGTTGCTAGCTCCTCTCCCTTATTGCTACATGTCTAATTTCCCTTGGCCCACCTCATCTTCTTCTATAACATGTCATGTGTCCGCTTATTACACCACCACGAGTCACAACCACGTGGTGCCATATCATCGTGTTTCTTGGAGGAATTAGTGGCCGACCATGCCAAATGGTGCCACCAACTTGTTTCGCATCATCAGCCTAGGGTGTTTTTTTTCCAGATCTTAGGACGTCCATAGCATTCATATACAAGCTCCGTTTTCGACGTTTTTTAATATCTCTGAAATCTTCTCAACGAGCTCTACGACTTTCATTAAGGTTCCATCAACTAGTTCTCAGTCTTACTAAAATTCATATTTAGACCAATTTAGAGTGTTAAAGTTAATGCAAAATTCATAACTCCTTCATACAAACTCTGTTCTTGACTGTATTTATGTCGATGAGTTCTTATTTACAATATCTTCAACTCTCAATTAGATTGTTTCAGCTAACAATCAATCGATTGAATTTCGATTTTTGTGGCCACACTGATGCGTTAAAACTTCGAAAAATCATAATTTCCTCATACGAAGTCATATTTGGACGTTATCTACATGCACATTCTTGGTTTTATAATTACTATGACTTTCATTTATATTGCTTAGGTAATAAGCAACCTATCTAAAATTCACTCTTTATGATACGTTGATTCGTGTCTGTTTTCTCACGAGACTCCGAAGGAGCATAACTTCTTTACACGAAGTCGGATTTAATCGTTCTAGGGTACGAGCATGACTTGATTACATTACATCCGCTGATATATACTAGTAATTTGTGCACATTGATTTTTTTACTATCTTTATGAATCTCATCTTACGTATGGTGTGTCAAACTTGAACATGTGGCTACTTATCTATATTGAGATTGAATTTGGAATGATTACTCTTAAATTTTAGATGAAAATTTTGGTTTTAAATTTGGGATGTCATTCTATCACAAGTCGGTATCAGAGCCTTGGTTTGAGGGACTTGGACTAGCACAAGGTGTGTTTGAACTTAAACTGAGGATTGAAAGACTCTTTTTATAAAAAAATGTTTTCTAAAAAGTCTTTATAAAAGAAAAAGATGTGATGCGTGCAATCACTCAGAGCTTAAGTAAGTGATTTCCATAATATCCATACATATTTTGATATGAATTCTATCCAGATTACCAGGTATTCAAACATTGTGTAACTTATAGTTTTAGAATGTTGCATTCATCGAGTTTTGAGGTGGGTAATATGATCTCAATTTCTTTAAATAAATTTATACATGTTTAAATTAGTAATGAAGTACAACACAATACTTTTAATAAGACTCCATTATCTAACCTCCACGTGTTCTACTTCATATGTTGATGATAAAGTTGACATAGTAGTAAATGTTTTTGACTATGAAAAACCATCTACAATCTTAACAAGTACATCTAAAAAAAAGAGTAAATTACACAAGTGGTCCTTTAAGTATGCACTTTTTCCCTGAAGTAGTCCCTCTGAATTTTTTTTCCCTCAGATGGTACCTAAGGACGTAACGTTAAACGCAAATGGTCCCCGAGTTGGATGTCAGTCTATACCAACGTTAACCTTCTCCTATGTGTCTTACACATGAGGATATTTTAGTCATTTTACCTAAAAGGACCATTCATGAACAAATTTCTATGCTCTGTATTACCTTCTTCTTCTTCCACCCAATACAATCGACCACCACTATTAAAGAAAGAAACGGAGGAAACAGGAAAAAGAATGCCAATATATGTATGTCGAAATCACGATCTTGCCGTCGTCACTTCCTGGTCTAATTGCAACCGTGGAAGGAAATTTTGGTCCTGTGTTTGTAATGAGAGCAAGTGTGCTTGGATTGGGTGGTTTAATGAGCCCGTGTGCCTTAGATCAGTGGAAGTGATACTTGGGTTACTCAGGTGTATGAACAAGCTCTAACAATCCCTTCAACAAGCTACAATGCAAGAAAGGATGTATAAGTTAATCTTTTTCTTCAATTGGTGTCTTTTTACATTTCGTTACCTGAAGCATGGTTGAAGTTGTGTCTGAATGTGGTGTCTGGATGCAGGAAGTATTATCTTTGTCGTAGGGTTAATGAATTGGTGGTCTTATTTTGAGTATGAATGCAGGAAATTGTTGTCTTTGTGTTTTGTTGTCTGAATGATGTAGTATTTGTTATTTAGTTTATGTATTTTGGAGAGATTGGATGATCTTATTTTAAAAAAAAAGTTGATGTACCATGTTTTATATGTTTTGTATTGTTTCCATTTTCCCATACACTTTGAATATCACAACATCAGTTGACAAGAACAACAATATAAACAAAAATGCTATTGTATATCACAAAAGTAGTTGACATTGTTTCATTGTCAACCTATCTGTACAATGATTCAAGGTCAACATGCATGAACATAAAAAATAAGGAGCACAAAGTATGTAATGTTTGTTATATACACATAGTTATCAAAACAACCATAAACCAAAATGGAAAATTACATCAAAAGACCAAAGACCTAACACTAACAACAACATCCCCCTCTTCACTCATCCTTCCCTTTCTCTTTTCCAACCCCATTCTTCTTTCCTCTTGTCTCTAGTTCTTTTCTCATTAGTGCCACCTTGACCTTTACAAGTACGTGAATTATGCCTTTTGTTCTTGCACTTTCCACATGTGATAATGGTCCATTTCTTTGACAGTTTATGCCCCTATCTAGCAGGTTCATCATATGCCCTTTTCCTTTTCTTCGTGGGCCTAACTACCTTCAAATGTATATAAGATTAAGTTAATTCCAATGACTCACTACACTTATAATGACAAAAAACTATACATACATGAACAACATGTTTGGGTGGAAGCAATTTGGTTGGGCATGGTGTTTTGGGTCACATCCGTCTACCATTAATTGGTGCTATTTTGTGTTTGTACACTTCTGCCCATGTAACTAACCAATAGCATGGGTGGACATACTGCTCCAACTCAGGAACATTCTTTTCACCATGTCCAATTTGTCCCATATTGCACTTATTTCATGTGAGCATAACATTACTGTAATTTCCCAATGCCTACAAGTACAAGTTTTTTTTATCCAAATTAACAATAAACTGATTGCCCCATTGAGTAGCGACTTGAGTGTTAATCCCACTAAAAATACACTTGTTCTTTTGTGTTTTTTTTTCATTTGAGCAAGTAAAGCAGTGCCAGTTGGTGTTAGTGGACCATGACATCTATTAATCTTTCTTTGTACATTGTGAATTTTCTTCATCATATATTATCTAATGAACTACAAACAATATATGTCTGGTTTATCTCTACTACCTCTCACTTTTCCATTTAGAACCTCACACGGGTTATTCAACAACTTGTTAGTATGTATTCTCCCTACTAACTAACATAATAAAATCAGAATGAAACCTAATAGTGACAAGAAAATATAAACTTCAATGAAGGATGTACTGTTTAACCTAAGAAATGAGATCTTACCCAGTGTGTTGGAGGAATCTATAGCAGCCAATCATGAGCTTCAACATTGAATTTTTTAGCTCTTTTAAAGCTTTCACAAAATGCCCGACAGTAGTAGTAGTAGTTGCACACGCCCATACAATATCTTTGATCTCTTTATCCTTCCATAGTTTTATCATATTATCATAAATGTCTCAAACATAACCTATGCTCAGCTTGAAGGAAAAGTTTGCAAATTGCATGAATGAAGGCCCTAATTATTTCAAGAATTAGTTGGCTAAAGTTTTAAAAAAAAAAAAAAATTAAATTGTACAATATGTACCTTCTGCCTATCTGATATGAAGGTGAATTTTGAATTAGGATAAAGCTCTAGATCATCACCAAGTTGTTCCAAAAACCATGTTCATGAATTTATGGTTTCATTGTCAACAAGTGCATATGCAAGAGGGTATATCCCATTATTGGATTCAACCCCAACGACTGTCAAAATTTTCTTTGGATAGGGGCCTTTCATGGAAGTACTATCCAACCCTATGCAATCCCTTTGATTAGACTTCAAACCTTCCTTCAAGGCTCCTAAACAAATGTAAATTCTCCTAAACATCCTTGTTTCTAGATTTGGATTTTCCTCAATATGAAAATCGATTTTAACATTAGTACCCGGGTTTATTTCTATAAAATCTAGTCCCTTGTCCCTCAACAAGCCACATTGTTTGGCATAATACCCAAAAACATGCTTCTGAGCCAATGAATTTTCCCGATATACCTTCATTCTTGACATGTTCGTCTTGAATTTCTGGATAAGATCTTCTTAAACTGCATAGACTGGAATCGTTAGATTAGTTTCAATTTTCTTCACAATGATGGAAATAATGAATTCGTAGTTACAATATTTAATGTTTCTTGATTGCACACACCAGTGTTCATTAACTAGCGTGTTGACCATCTAGTCACTTGTCTCTTTAGGCCTAGACACTAGTAAAACCCAAGGACATTTACCTTGTTTCAAATTTGACGGTTTTATCCTTGAGTATAGTCATTAACTTTATCCATGGCTTACCACTCATATCTTGGACCACACCTCTACACTTAGCCCTAATCCTTATTTTCTCATTTTTTAAAAAAAATATATCCCTTTAGGTTTATACTGTATGTTTGTTGATATAATATTTCACATCTTTCTTTGTTTTGAAATACTGTCCCAAAGCGAAAGCCTTTACATGAACTTCACCCTCGGAACATGCTTTTGCCTTTCCTATATCTCTCAACATCCTCTCCATGTAGTTAACTTCACCTATAATAGGTGATTCAAATAAGTCTGGGTCTATGACCTCCAAATCTTCACCTTCAGTCAACTTAATACTAAGAATACTTGCTTCTTCGGATGTTTTTGGAATTCACTCAACATAGATCTTCATCCACATATATATCAAAATCTTTCATATCAACATCCACACTACAATATTTTCTAAGTATACAAAGAAGTCTTGATCCTGACTATCATTTGTCTTACTGCCTTCACTCCTACTACCCTCACTGACAATTCCCTTACTCCCACGATATTCATCCTCAAAGTCATCCTTCTGTATATTTTTATCCCCATAATATTTTGCGTCTATATGCCCCAATACTTGATAATCGTATCCTGTATCAATAGCCCCTATGCTTGGTAATCATTCCCTGTGTCAATAGTTCTTTAAGCTTTGTTTTCCTCAAACTAACCCCCCCCCCCCCCCCCCAAAAAAAAAAGGGATCAAACTAGTCAGCTAAGTGTTTTTGTTGATTACGGGTTCATAGGGTACAATCAACTTTGACGAATCAGTGGGCTCATTCAAATCCAACTTTTTATTACACGACCCAACTTATTTCCTTTTCAGTATAAAGGTATTCATTGTAGGAGAATCATCCCCTTTAATTCCCTCAATCCAAAACTTCAATGGGGACTTAAAGTAAGGGACTATTCTAGTCTTCCCATGCTCAAAGGACACATTAATATCCTTGTGATTAGGCACATACCTTGCCAGATGAATGACTTCTTGATCGTTTCCAAAGGGGTAGAATCCACTATCCAATTCTGTCTCTGGGATCATGAAATGGTAGAACATAATACCTCCATCATCGTACCCTAAAACTGCCATCATATCATCCAACTCATGGACTAAAAACACATCCATGTCCACAAAATCAAAGTGATCCACAAGCCCTTTCGTGTACGACCTTCCAAGAACCGTATTGGTGAACCAACCCTTATGATTCATCTTGAATGTGCAAAGGCTTGCTACAGTACCTGAGGTGAAAATTCACGAAATAGATATTACAGATAGAGGAAAGAAAGATTAAAAAGAAACAACATTTCATCAACCCTAGCATTACAAGGTCTATGCTTACCATAATCGGTTACATAGGTCAGGTTCTTGGATTATCGTGGACATATAACGACCACAAAGTGAGCACCATTATCGTCGAGATCCTAGAGTCAGTTGTGATAAGAAGATATGAACTAAGGATTGAGCCAACGTCTTGAAGAAGATGGGATGATCAAGAGGTTTTCTGGGGGAAAGAGAGAGAGGGTGAAAGATAATGAAGTCTAAAACTCAACCCCATCACCTTAATGTTTAAAGCTCTTCAGATAATTGTTCACAAACAACCCTTCTAGGTGAAATTACTAAAATACCCTCATATGCAAGGCAAATGGGGCATGTTAAATTTGCTGTAGATTAACATCCAACTAAGGCTGTTCACGTTCAAGGTTAAGTTTGTAGGTACCATCAGAGGAAAAAAAAACTTTCATATGGACTAGAGAAAAGTACAAACTTAGACCATTCATGTAATTTACTCTTATAAAAATACCTCATAAAAAGTCCAATTTATGTAGTTATAAACACTTAATAACACACTGAAGTACTCTAAAATGATATCTTTGTCAATGTTTCTTTAGTTATAAAATACAAAAATATAAACCCATTTCTTCTTTAAATAATTATTTTAACAAAAATTCCAAAAAAAAAAAAAAAAAAAAAAAACTAGCCAATGTAAAGAA